CTCCCACAAAAACYCTCCTGGCTCTGGGGGAATTCAGCCAAGGCAGCAACACGTGGCTGTGTGCAAACACACTGGAACGGCAGCGCGGAGGAGGTGTGAGCGGCCCCAGCTCCGCTTCACTGCGATCKGATTAGGGCAGTTAGTGCTGCCGACACTGACAGGACTTAATTGGCAACTCTTTTAGTACCACGTTTACYCAGGGAGGCAAACCCGCCTCCTATGTGTTCCCATCTGCTGAGAGCCCTGGCCGCCCCCAGCCCAGCTGCCAATCTATTCAGCCCCCCTCTAAGAACCCATCAATGTGTCTACGCGTTTACAAAACAAAATATGGCAACACACTGGAATTTATAGAGGCACATCAAATTAATTGCAGGTAATCTCAGATCAGCACCAGGTGTCCCTGGGCTGGGTTTGCAGAAGGACAGGGTGACAGAGGCTCTTCTTAGCACGCCCACAGGCACRGGGCTGTGCTCAGGTGGTGCTCGGGTTCGGCTGGCTGCTGTAAGCRTGGGCATTTGGCCGTGGGAAGGACAGAAGATATGGACTCTGCAGGAAAGTCTGAAGCCAGGTTTTAAACAATACCTTGCGAGATATTAGCCCCAAACCCTCTATCTGGAGGATAGCCCCGGCATCACTTAGTTGTGCATTTCCATCCTTAGTCCCAACTTTGGTTAAACAAAACCCTATGTTTTTAATTAATTAATTAATTAATTAATGTTTGCAACATTAATTTTTGTTTTACTTGCCTTTTTCCAGACCCTGCTGTCTAGGACCCCCCCGGCAGTTTGACTTTTCTGCTGGGCATTGCTGCTTGCTATTAAACTTTATTATCCCGAGTAATCGAGTGCCAACTGCTGTATCCTTCCAGGCTGAGGCTCCCACGGACACTCATCTGGATCCCAGGAGTGAAGGACACGAGAAGGGTGTATGGGTAGAAAAGAAGAACTGTCCCCAGCTATGCGGAGCTGAATGAGGGCAGTCAGGCCACGAGGAAGAAAACCCTGCAGGACCAGGCTTGGTGGGGACAACACTTGTTGCACATGTCCGAGCTTTTGCTCTGCAGGAGGAAGGGTAGGAATTGATGTCAGAAACGAGTAAATGGATGAAAATGCTGGCTGCTTCTCTGAGCCACCGCCGGGGCTCTGAGCACGGCAGTGTGTGGGCAGCGCCCGCCTTCCCGCAGCCACCCCACTTCGCAGGCTGGTCCTGCAGCACTCGCTGAGCACCCAAACGGGGGCCTGCACGGGGCCGAGGCCCAGGTCCCCACGGAGGAGCCAAACACAACAGCCACTGGCCAGCCCACCGCGCACAGCGCGTTCGTTGCTCCTGCCTCGCCCTGCTCCCTTCCTCCTCGCTTCACCCCACTGGGAGCTCTGCCTGTGTTTATAGCAGAACCAGCCGGCTGCAGTGCCCTGGCTGAATCCCAGGATCTGCTCAGAGAAAGCACAGAGCTCCTATCACAAAATCGTCATCGTTCCCTTGTATTACTGCCTCTTCCAGGCCCCCTGAAAYGCCCTGTTCTGCATTTGCTCCCTCCCATCAGTTTGCTGCAGGCCCATTTCTTCCTGGACCACTTTAGAGTTGCACCAAGTTTAGAGCAACTTTAGTGGCACCAAGTCGTGTGCAGAGGACCATGCTCGATGGCTCGTGCTCCTGGCACMCCATCTGGCCCAAGCTGGCTGGGGAAAACATAGCAGTGTTCACACTTGCTTTAGCCCAACGGGACATCTTCTTTGCTTTCTTTTTAAACAGGCATTGCACTTYGAATTTCATCTCGAAACAGGATCCAAGGTGTTTTGGCCTGCTTTTTCTGAAAAAAAAAAAATGAGGAAGATTACTTTGCATGGACTGTCTGCCTTTGCTCCTAATCACGTTCAACTTACTAGCTAGTTTTAATCAAATTTAAGCAAAGATAAAAGAATTCCCCAGTAATTCCAGYAATTATGTTCCAACATATCCTGTGTGCTCCTTAAGGAAAGGACCTGCACCAGGAGCAGTGCGTGCTGTTCCTCGAGCCTCCTCACGGGCTGAACCTGCCACAGGGAGCAGGGGACTGTCCTGTTCGCTTTTGGCAGAGGCAACACTGCAGATCTCAGGCTGAGACTCTGCTCAGCCTCACYGCTCTGCACTAGTCAAATCGGTTATTTCCCTAACCCTGCTCGGAGCAGAGGTCCACAGCTCCCTTTGCATACTGCTCTTCATGCTCTCAGGTCATTCCAGGGTGGCCAGAAAATACAATATGCAAAAAAAGGAGAGAGGAGCTTGGTCCTTTGTCTCAGAAGGGGGAAAAAAGCAGAGGTTTTAAGCTTTAGGATTATCTGAGAACTCTGTTTGGAAGGAACCTCAGGAGGTTGCCTGGCCCAGCCTCCTGGAGTCCATGTCCTGATGMCCTTGGATGAGGCCTTCCATCCATGCACTTGCAGAGCGCAGGAACTGTGGCCAGCAGCTCCAGGGAAGTTGTTCTCCTCCTGCACRCGGTGCCGGGGAGGCTGTGCCCGGAGCTGGGTCTCTCACATCCAGAAGGATCCTGGGCAACTTGCTCCATCTGACCCTGCCTGGAGGAAATGCTGGCTCTGCCTTCCCTTGCAAACCACTGGTGTTTGTTTTCCTGTGGACAGGATCTCCATGACAAGGCTAACAAAGCAGCAGGGGAAGAAAGACCAAGGCACCGGCTTTGATGCGATCTGATGAATCCCACTGACTTGCTGCCGACTTCAATGAGAGCTGCCAGCACTGCACACCACACAGGCTCCAAACGCGTGCTTAATGAAAGGCAGAGTTTTCCCGGAGATCAAAAAACCTCACTGCTTTTCAGGGGTTGATTCATTCAAGCTTTGATGTGAACTGCCCTTCAAAAAGTCACTTGTCAGGTGAACAACGAAGCCCGTTTGAGCTCTTAGCTAGCAATACAGTAAGCCTCATCTATATTCATGCAGCCAAATCTCCTCCTGTTTGATGAGACCGTGCAATTAATCTCTCCACGGCAGGCAGCACTAAGTCTGCTCAGGTAATACAAGGTGCTTTGGAGCCAGCAGTCACTGAAAAGCCCCACAGAAGCAGCACCTCGGGAACACACTGCAGTATCCACAGTGCCCAGGGTCAGCAGGGTTTAACTAGTGCTCAAAAGGCCTGGCCTGGCCCGACCGGCATCGACGGCACGGTCGGGATGTCCCGGAGGGAAACGGTCACCTACTGCAGCCATGTGTGGTGGCCACCCAAATGCTCATCCCCCAAACACTCCCCGTCTCCCCAGCACCCTCTCCATGCAATATCCCCCCCCCCACACACACACACAGTTTCCAGGCCACAAGAAGCTTTAAATCAGCCTGCTCCAGCAGCAAGGTGCATGGGGGGTCCCAGCTGCACCCCGGGAGCAGGAGCCACTCACCACGAGCCCGCTGAGGTGCCTGGGGAAGGCAGGATCAGGACGTGGTGCAGCTCTGCATCCACTGCGGGATGGCTCATTCAGCCGGGCTTCCTCCTCGGCACGTGGCCTGTCCTGCAAAACCACCCTGTTTTATATTATTTTAAGGCGCTAGATAAATTATTCAGGCTTTCCATTCAAGTTGCACTTGGGCACACRGGTTCAGCAGAGCTGTTTATGTAGCACCATCAGGTCTCCCTACTGAACAAAGCAGCAACGGGCACTTTGCAGGTCTACCTTTCTGCACATCCCAATCCTGTCCSCAAGCTGGACCCACTCACGAGGCCACTGTCATCCACACAGGTCTGAATTACCGGGGTGCAACTGCTCCGAGTCTGCGGGAGGGCAAAAGCCCCAGCAAGGCGGCGAGCTCCCCGCCGGGCGCAGGCTGAACGCGGCCGGCTGCGGGAGAAAGCAGYGCAACACACACGTAGCATCAACCTTCACGCCCTAAACTTTAATTAAGGTACCTGCCCAGAAATTAATAGGTGCAAAACTTGATTTACAAAGCAAAGGAGATTCAAAGATAAAGGCGGTTTCCACTCCCGGTATTCTGGGCTCAGCAGTGCCTCACAGAGGAAGGCGCTCTCGCCCCGCGCGGTGACTGCTAGCACGTGGGGCTGGCGGCTCCAGACAAACCCATCCAGATACCCAAGTGCTGGCTTTGCTGCTTTTGCACCTTTTAATTTAGATTTTCAGCACGAGAGCTTCCCCCTGACGCAGCAATTTTGGCAGAGGCGGGGAGGCTGGGCAGAGCCCCTGACCCGCTCCTCTGACGCAGAGGAGCTGCAGACGTCAGGCTCAGCTCAACTTTGGCCCGGGGCAGAAYGAATGTTCATACACCCATATGCAGACGCCCTCCAGGGAGGGCTCAGCCTCAGCGCAGGGCCCTGCGAGGCGCTGGGGAAGGAGGACGAGGCTCCCGCCCCGGCAGCCGGCAGAGCCAGCGCTGCAAGCCCAGGGGAGCTGCGGGCCGGGGAGACGCAGCCGGAGAGGGAGGCCCCCGCTCCGCCACATCCGTCTGCAGGGGAAACGGAAAAGCCGCATCGGGCAGGAACGCGCTTCTTGGCCAAAACCATCGCTGCGGCCCGGCCTCCGCTCCGCCGCCCCGCTGCTCCAGCCCAGCGCAGGGAAATCCCGAAAATCTCCTTCCTCCCGGCTCCAGCGGCCCCTGGCACTCGTCTCTCCCTGCTCGCTCTCCCAGACGGCGGCTTCTCCGGCGCTACCTCCTGCCCGGCGTGACAGGAGCTGCGCCTGCCAGGCCRCGCTGGCCCCTCCGCCTGCCTTCGTGCTGCTGCGAGGCAAATTTGAGGAACTCCTGTGGCTTTTCCAGTAGCTCTCACTTCCTTTTGCTTTGTATTCCCCCCCTTTTTATTTTTATGACGTGTTAAAAGCGCAGCCGCGCGCCCGGCAGAAGCGGGGTGCTGCTTCCCTCTCTACCCCAGCAAGGCCCAGGGCAATCTCCTCCCTCAGGCAGAGTTGCCAGCCCTACCAGCACACAGAAGGAAGCTGCTGCCCGGCTCTGCTGCTGCTTGCACCRGCTTTCGCCATCACCCTGGACCGGGGCTCCAGGGATCCCTGTTCCTGGGCCCCGCCGCACCCGAAACCTCCGTCGGAAACCACCCAGGATGCAGAGAAGACTCCAAAACTGGTTTAGAGCAACCTTTCAGGTGAGTGGCTTCTTTTTTTCCATGCTTTTAGGTTTAATGCTAGCTGCTAAAATGTTAACTCTTGCAAACATCCTTTCCCCGCCTCTTCCCTTCTCCACAAGCAGGCCACATAACCCATAAGTGGRGGAAAACTCCCCAAAACGGCCCGCTCCTCTTTCCTGGCCCCTCTGATTTTTGCTTTATCTGCGGTCAGGCTCTGGGATGAAGGTTGCAGGGCTGCATTTTATCAGTAACTTTCGTGGTTCCCCCTAATAACAGGGTTTTGAACCGCAAGCGCTGGAGCAAGGTCGCCGTTCCAGCACCCGCTGCGAGCGGCAGSAGCCCGGGCTCCAGGCCCGGCTCGCCAGCACGCGGCTCCGGTTTGAGGCTGGTCTATCTCCTTTGCCGAGTTTTTGCATATGGAAAACTGGGGAGATGCAGAGAGACATTATGGGCCTTGCTTGCATTTAAACTTAGGGTTGTGACTCACTTAAGGACCACAAAGTGGAAATGCAGGGAAGAGTCTCTGGCGGGAGCTCTTCCAGAGAGCAGCAAGGTAAAAGGGGGGCAGAAGAACCAAAGCCCAATAGCTACTTAAAGCAGGAAGGTCAGGTCCCCCTCCCTGGCTGCTTTAGTCCTTGCCAGGCAGCATAACAAGCATCAGAAGCCCTTTGTCTTATTAGCACGAACACTGATGGCCCCACTGGCTTTTCCCTGGTGCCAGGGTTAGCATGGGAAAACCTTCCTCTGCCACATGCCAGGGGGGAGACAGAGGCAGCTTGAGAGAGGATGGACCTGGCTGTGGATGCTGGCGGTTTTGCCAGTGTTCTGGTCTGGCCACCCAGCCCACCTCCCTGTTGGCAAGAGGCAASAGGACAGATGGAGACACGTTGGTGTCATCTTAAAGCCTGCAATCCATGTGCCGCCAACGCTGCCAGGCCCGTGAAAGCTGCCAGAGGCGGTGAGGCAGGTGCCCATCCCCTTCCTGTACCACAGAAACGGCAGCTCCCCTAAGGCCAGTGGGTTTCATCACAGGAGTGAGGGTGCCCAGAGCCYGCCAGGAGTTCGGGGCTTGTGGGGATCATTCAAATGCAGCTTGCAGCCAGGTCAACCCTGCTGGGTGTCTCCACATAACCCAGCGCTGTCCCCAGGCAGCTGCCTGGTCACACAGTAGCACRTGGTTGACACCAAGGCACAGTGAGTGCAGGTCTCAATTACAGGAGAGGCTGGGAAAGGCTGCCAAGTTCAGCTATGTCAGCCAAATGAAGGAGAGAAAAGGTGGCTTTGCCTCACCCACACCTAGAAACAACTCTGCTGTAACTGCTGACCCAGCTCTGCTGGCAAAATCATCATTTTTGGTGTTTGGATCTTGTGCTACCAAGGAAAACATTTTCWTTTTTTTTTCCAGTAAATAACTTTTCTCACTAATATCAACAGCTCTGTGATGATCATCTTGCCTTCTGTTCCATCTTGGGCACAGGCTGTCAATGGGCACAGGAGGCTGCAGCATCGGAGCCTCCCTGGTGACCACGGTGGCAGGCGGCAGGACAGGGCAAGACTCACATAGTCCAGCTCTGCTGCATCCCATGGCTATGGTGACCCACGGTGACAGGCTGGAGGACAGGGCAAGACACACATAGTTCAGCTCTGCCGCATCCTATGGCTAGGGTGACCCCTCAGCCAGCCTGGCCACAGCTTCTCATGACTCAAAGCCCTGGAGATGTGGCCGGCCAGCACCAGCCTCTCACTCASTGAGCAGAGCTTGGCCACACAAACTACTTCCCACCACCTAGGAAATATTCCTGCGCCCAAACCTTCTGGGCAAACTCAAGCTAAACAATGAGCCCACCTCTTGCTCGTGGGCCCACAGCAACACACCTGTGCCTGTTACTAAGTGTTAATTTATCAGGTCTTAGAGAGGGAGGCAAATCCCACAGCACCCACAAGCTGGTCACAAGTGAGCAAGTGTTAAGTGCAGAAAGCGAGTCAGCAGCAGCGTTGGGGACACATCTCAAACCCAACGTTCTCATCCAGTTGCTCAATACCACTGCATTCTCCTTCGTTGCACACTTGGAAGATGGCAACATTCATGCTAATTGCACATGCAGGTGACTTAAGGGCAAGGAAGGAAAGAAGAGCATGCGAATAACAGAACAAAACCAACTTCAACTGTCCTGTTAACAGCTTTTGGTGCAGATACTTTTCTGCAGGGGTTGGTGGAAAACTGAAAACCTGGAGTATTTCCTTGTCACTTAGGCCTGACCCCTCTTTGGTCTCTTTTCAACTACTCCAGGCACTGGCAGTGAGTCCTGTACGTCCTCGCAGGGGGCACCTGGTATGCAAGGCAGTAGGAGGTGGCAGAAGAGGTGGTGCACTCCAAAACCAGCTCCTTGGATATTAGCAGACCTGAAGACATTTCATCCCCTGGCAGTGTTACCCTAGGTGCTACGAGAGGGGCAGCACAGCTCCTGACCACAACCAGGGGCCTCCTCTTGTCCCTGGCACGGGGACGARATGGCTGCTTTCATTGCTGAAAACTTCCGCTTCCTCTCCCTGTTCTTCAAGAGCAAAGACGTGATGATTTTTAATGGCCTGGTGGCTCTGGGCACGGTGGGCAGTGAAGAGCTTTTCTCCGTTATGGCCTTCCACTGCCCCTGCTCCCCAGCTCGCAATTACATCTACGGCCTGGCCGCCATCGGCGTCCCAGCCCTGGCGCTCTTCCTCATCGGCGTCGTCTGGAACAACCACACCTGGAACCTGGTGGCCGAGTGCCACAAGCGCGGCACCAAGAACTTCTCCGCTGCGGCCACGTTCCTCCTCTTCGGCTCCATCATGGGCCGGGCCGCTGTGGCTCCCGTCACCTGGTCGGTCTTCTCGCTGCTCCGCGGCGAGGCCTATATCTGCGCCCTCAGCGAGTTCGTCCAGCCCGCCAGCCTGGATAAGTTTCCAGCCGAGTACGGGGCTGAGGCCCTGGCCAGGTTCCCCTGCAAAGACGTCCCAGCAAACCTGACCAAGTTCAGGGACGAAGTGACCAGGAGGCTCAAATATGAGTCCCAGGTAGGTACACCAGGGCAAGGGCTGTTGGAAGGGCTGATCAACCAACTTGTTGGTGGCCACTGAAGTCCCCTTCCTAGCTCAAGGGGGTGGGTTGCAGTCAGGGGTGAAAGAACAGAGACCAATAGCAGCTAGGAAGGTTTTGCTGCCCAAGAGATGTGGCCTTCCATGACCAGATAATACCCAAAAGTCCCTTTCAACCTTAATCAACGTGCCCCCAAGGCAGGGCTGATGGATGGGGAAGGATGCCTAGGGTTTACCTAGGGTATTGCTATCTTCTGGGCAGCCCCAGTTCCTGGCCATGCTTTCTCCAAAGTAGCTCTTAATTCCCACTGGCAGCAAAGGCACAAAGCCCATGGGCTCCCCAAGATGGGAAGGTGTGGGGAACAGGAAGGCTGTGTCACCGTGTCGTAATGCAGCCCCTCTCTCCCAGCTCTTCGGCTGGCTGCTTATCGGGATAGTGGCGGTCCTGATTTTCCTCACCAAGTGCCTGAAGCACTGCTGCTCGCCGCTGAGCTACCGCCAGGAAGCCTACTGGGACCAGTACCGCTCCAACGAGGACAAGCTCTTCCGCCGCACGGCCGAGGTCCACTCCAGGGTCCTGGCRGCCAAGAACGTGAAGCAATTCTTTGGCTTCGTGGCCCTGGACAAGGAGGAGAAGGAGATGGTGCAGGAGTTCCCTGTGGAGAGCGCCCAGCCGAGCCCCCAGTGGAACGCCATCACCGGAGTCTACATCTACAGGGAGGACAAGGGCTTCCCTCTCTACAGCCGGCTCCATAAATGGGCCAAGGGTGTGGAAGGCAATGGGCCAAGCCCCGAAGCCCATGAAATGCTCTTCTTGGCTTCTTAAGACAGACRGGTGGCTGGGACTGTTTCCCTAGACCACCTGATTGGCCCATCAGTATTGGCGTGTGGATGACTGTTTCACTAGGMATATTCTTCCCAGCAGGATTATTTGTCTCTGCAGGTGAAAACGGACCAAGTGCCTCAAGGTGGAGCCTGATAAGCAATTCACTAAGCTGGGGAGCCTCTCCCTCAAGGAGGGCCATCTTGCTGCTTATCTCAGGGAGATGACTGGAGCAAAGAGCAGAGGGGCACCTCACCTGCAGGCTGCCSCTGTGTCCTGCCATCTCCTGCACCAGCAGAAGCCCCGGGGGAGTCAAAGGTGGGCATGATTCACTTTTAACTATGACTGCTGGAAGTCCCACTTGTCTCCTCCAAAGCAGAGTTAGCACCGAGTCACCTCTCACACCCACCTGTTTTACTGACACCAGTATCTTTGTGGTGCCTGTTGTGCAGACAGGTCCCAGAGCCCTATACAGACTGCACCGTGCAGGGAGAGGGAAGCAGTGGATGAATTCCTGTGGCAGCTGGGATGCATTTGCACACCAGCACACTGAATAGCTGAAGGATTAAGGCAGGAGGAACCACTGAAATTCCCAGTATTTAGAGAGACGCTCTCTAATTACCAAATTGGAATCTGGGTAGGACACCAAACTCCCTTTGTTCTTGCTGGAAGTGCCTTGGCTTTTTAAATGAGTTTAAATGGTTACAACTATGAGTTTACAAACCTGGAGGAGAGCACCATCAGCAGAATGCCTCCTAGCTGAGCTACCCAGAGGCTCAGCCCTCCGTGCGAACCACAACACAGCCTGCACCTCACCCAATTCCTCATCCAACTATCGTCAAGTTGTAGTAAGGTCCCAACCAGATTCAGTTATATACATACAACTATACCATACAAGCATGGTTAGTTGGCCGTAAGAATGAAGTATTTCTCCTCWGGAACAAGCTCAGAAACTTGCTAGTCAAAAGACTTCATCATATGCACCTYTCTGCTACACAGAGACCACCACCTCGCAGTGACAAGGATCAGCAGGAGWGGCATGGGGTGGAAGCAACGCTTTCTCTAGCCCTCTACCACTGAACTTTCTTAAAGTCTTTCCATTGCCTTAAGAGGTTTCCTGAACACAGTGTTTTAGGGACAAGTGAGGCCACATAGGTGCAAAATTACTGTCCTGCCTGTGCTGTGGATCYGAGGCTCTTCATGGAGCACTACAGTCTCCTGTGCCTTGGTCAACCTTATATCACCACTACACTTTTAACAGTTGGCAGAACAACAGAATTTGGTATTCCTATTTGTACTGCTTCTTTATAAAGATGTCTTTAGTTTTATACTATACTTTTTACTGAAAAGAAAGCCTTAAACACAAGCAAAAAGAAATAAGTTATTGAATGAGAATCCATTTTCATTGCCTTTCTGGTTTCCCCCCAGGGCAGGGAGGGGGGACAGAAGTCTATATTAATAAACACAAGGACTGGGAACTTACTGTTTCCTTCTATTAAACATTCAGATCCTATCTTATTCAGATGACTTCAGGACCTGAAGTTTTAAAGCAGCACCACATATTACAAGTTAGCAACACTGTTTTTTAGTCATTCTTGCAATAAATAGTACAGATTTTATAATGATAGTACATGTCTACCAAATGAAGGAAATGTATTTATAAATCTGTTCACAAATATAACTCCTTGAAAAAAAAAAAAAAGAGCTGGAAGGTACTCACTGTAAAGAGAATCGTACACTGTTTAATGGGAAGAAAWCTTCGGATGCCTGTTAGGTTTCTTCATAGATGTGCCTTGCATTTGTGGGGATGCCTGGCTCATAGAAACACCACTGACTGGTCTGGAGGAATGGCCAAATAAGAGTTAAACAAAACTGCATTAACTTGASATGAAAGAGTTAATTTGCATTTTTCTGACTGGCCCTCAGGTGTGAACACGCTCACCACCCCCACATGCAAGTCAGCAGATGCAAGGTAACCTGCTGACACAGTAGCATGAAGATATTCCTGTGCCTCTTATTTCCTTTATCCCTCCTGTCTCCCTCCTTGATATTCCTAATTGTTCCTTTGAACCACCTCCATAGCCAGTTCCTTCTCCCCTCTTCCCTCCTTTAAAGGAAAGGGGCATGACACATAATGCTCGTAAACCAAATTTGTTTATCTTGAAAATAAACCTTGAGGACAACCCAGCCTTTGCTGTTTGGCTTTCTTATGTGCAGACACCAGTTGAATTAAGGAGGCAGCTTAGTGTTTTTATGAACTTGTCCTTAGCTTTGAGTCACTTACTCTTTCTCTCCAGCAATCTGCTCTCATCATGGTTGTTCATTTTCTCTCTTCTGCATTAACTCCAGCAACTTTCTTTTTGCTGGGATGGGCCAGAGACTTGTCCTGTTTGTCCATTTTCCCTCCTCCTCCTTGTTTGTGAGGCACATTTTGGTAGGCAACTGATGGTGAGGAGTGGAGCAAGCAGCTGCATGCTCCCAAATCCCTCTGCCCACACAAGCACTCGTCCTCCCCTGAGAGGGCTGTACAAGGGCCAAATATTGAGAAAGGAAAGGAGTCAGAGCAAGGGCTGCAGAGGTGTGGGAAAGGCTGCAGGCAAGGAGGGAAACAAGGAAAGGAAGTAGTCTAGATTTGATTAACTTTTGCAAAAATGCCCATGTTAAGCCATATGGGCTTTTTAGCCCAGCGTTAACAAGCAGACCAGGTCTCCCACTAGAGCATCAACAAGGAAATTCAGCTGCCTGTCTTCTGAGGGTGCCACATCACGTATGCTATGAGCTTGCAGCCTCTCTGCTCCTCCTAGGAAGGCTGAAAGCAGCCCCAACACAGCACAGTCAACAGCCTGCTCATTAGAGCACTTTACCCAGCAGCAAGGTGGGTATAAACCAGGCTCCTCCAGCAGAGAGAATTACACACAGCCCTTTCATTTGCCATGCTGACTACTGTAGAGACTATAATCCCAGGAGCTGTAAAGAAATAATACCTCAAAGGGATTTCTGGTTTCTATTGCAATGCTTATGTGTTCCATTCTGCAACAAATTCAAAAAAGAAAATCTCTCCAGCTATGTTTTAAAAGAAAGCAGCAACTGCTACCGGGTGTTGCAARCAACCTCCTCCCACAGGAGAGCAAACTGAGAACACGTATAGTACCCAATTCTCCTTRGGGCAAGAGGAGAGATGACTTGCTTCCGGATCTCAATGGACATGGGAATTAATTAAATGTTGAATCATGCAGCCCTGCTAACACTACCTATCCAGAGCCAGAGTAGTTGGGTCCTTAGGAACGTTGGTTTTGAGGTCAGAGTCCCTACAGCTGGGCTTTAAGTTTGATATTTTGAAGCAGGGCACCCACAAGCTAGATTCCTCACTGGATAATCACATTTTCCTCATCCGTAAAACAATGATCCCATCCACATCCCACCAAAAAGTTAGAGTAATAAGAATCATAAGGCACTGACACTAGTGAGAAAGACTATAAATGTCCAAAATGCTTAGCTATTTTTCCAAGTAGAAGGTTAGACTGGAATGAGTTATTTTTTCAGCACAGAAAAAARTATTTGACTTTACGGACCTCCAAAGAAGTCATTGCTACTGAAAATCACTGTCCATCACTAGCAGTTTGTTATAAGAGATGACTGAGATCATGGGATCCATGATAACTGGATGCTTTGGGCTTTAAAGGCACATGCCCTGTGGCTAAGAAGGCTATTGGCCTTCAGAGCTGCATTGGGAAGACCACTGCCAGGAGGCTGAGGAAGATGATTCCTCCTTTAACTCAACACAGCTGAGGGCACACCTGGATTGCTGCTTCCAGTGCTAAGCTCCTAGTACAAGACAGGTGAATACACTGGGCTAGGTCCAGCAAAGGGTGACACAAGTGATTAAAGGAATAGACTATCTAACATAAGGAAGATCGTTTTGCCTGAAGAAAAGGCTCAGGGAGGTCCAAGAGTGCAGAAACAGGAGAACCAGGCTCTCTTCAGTGTTTTCCAGACAAAGGACAAGAAGCAATGGGCACAAACTGAAATAAAGTTCTATTTAAACATAAAGGAAAAAAAAAACAGGAATGAACAAACAAAAAACCACTTCACTGTAAGGGTGACTGAACACTGAAAGAGGTTGCCCAAAGAGGGCCATGGTATCTCCATCCCTAAAGATATTCAAAACCCAACAGGACATGGTCCTGTGAAACATGTTCTTGTTGACACATCTTTGAGCAGGGGAAAGGGACTGCATCTCCAGAGGTATCTTCCAAACTCCTCCACTCAGATTCCATGTTGTTCTGCCAACTCCTGGCAGCACAAAGGCACTTGAGAAATCTTCTGAAGCATTGATTTCAGGTAAAAGGCAAGAACCTTCTCTGCTACTGGACAGAGAAATAAATTTATAGGATATTGTTGTAGTTAATAGGGGTAACAACTGCACCATTTCCGTAGGAAAGCAGAACTGGTAGGGACGATGCTCAAATGGATCATAAAATAGTCTATATTTAAATAACTGGAATCAGTCGTCAAACAAGCCTAATTTATAACAGATGAACAAAGCTGCACACATTTATCAGATCTTGTCTTTAGATTATTTGTTCTTCTGGTTTGGCTTGGTCCTATACCAATACTGTCAGGAAACTCACTGTCCATGGACATCCTCAGTTGAATTCCATGCAGTGTGGGAATCAAGAGGTATAAAGAACTGAGTCTCTCTGGTTTTATTTGCTCAGTATTTAGCTCTCAGCAAGGGAACTCTTGGCCTCCACATACTCTAGTGCTGCTGTTTTGACAGCCAGGACAGTTTCTGCTGTACCATACTTCTTCTCATAATCCAGATAGCGTTTAAAGAAGAATTTCATCCTCTTGGGTGCCAAGCTCAGGTGTATGACCCTCTCAAAGATGTCCCTGCAAGAAACCAAAGGCCATTCAGATCACTGTATGGGTGATGACATTCAACACAAGCTCTATATCCTGCCTCAGAATAAAGAGCAAATTCATTCAACCTGCTGCAAAAGTGCTGGTGCTTGAAAAGCAAGAGATTTATAAGAAC